TTGAGGAGGAAATAGACCAAGCAGTTGATGATGGTCGTTTGAGTATGCCTGCGACTTATAAACAGGCCAGTCAGCTTCCCTATCTCTGCGCATGCATCAAAGAAGCTCTTCGTATCTGGCCTGGCGCACAGCTTTGTAAGTAATAACCGATGCCGATGTTAGGTGTGAAATATCAATCTGATCTTCGAAATAGCTCTGCCTCGAACTGTACCCCCGGAGGGCCTGACTATCTGCGAACAATTCATCCCTGGAGGCTACGTTGTTGGTATCAACGCCGCCGTGATGCATTTCGACAAGAAAGTCTTTGGACAAGACGCCCACAGCTTCAACCCTGGCCGGTGGATGGATATGGCTCGTGCTAATTACATGGACAAGTACATGATGGCTTTCGGTGGTGGCACTCGAACATGTTTGGGCAAGAACATTGCCCTCATTGAGTTGCATAAGCTGTCTCCTCAACTTATCCGCAACTATCGGTTTGAGTTCTACGACCAGAACAAGACCCAATGGCATACTAGAAACACCTTCTTTGCTCGACAAGAAGGCGTTGTGGTGCGCGTCAAGCATCGAAAGCACTGAATGGCTCGGGACTTAGAAGCGGGTTCAGGTTATGTAGCTCAGCATATAGTATATTTATATAGGCCTGGTATCAAAATCTTAGAAGGGAAGCCAAGTTACTTTCTATGATGGTTTGTGACGATACGCGTTGTGATTCCAGCAATCGTTTACCCCTTACCTCAAACGGTCCCCAGAGGTGCCTGCAGGGCAAGTTTCCCGATACCTAGGCCAATCATCAACGTTGACTTCAGGATGAACTCTGACGAGGGAAATTGAAATTTTGCAGGACTATAAGGTAACTAAGACCTTGAATTTCTTGATGCATTGGATCCATACTAAGAATTAGTCGACTAAATTCTTCTATAAAGGATACGTGATATAGGTTAGTTAGAGAACAATGTATTAAACTAAGGGTTTAAACTAGAGGAGCTGGCAGCGCACAAACATCTAAACCTGAGGGTAGGTATGGGATAAATGTTGTAGAAGTTATGATGATTAAATACTAATAAAATAAAGAGGCTCTAAAAGCCTATAACCTTACCCGTAACCCTATCAAATCTAGCTAGTTTTCCCTCAACAATTCCCATATATAACGATGGCAAGATGGCACAATACTATTAAAGTCAGGCGGATATCCTGAAGCCAGCGTCTTTGGATGAATTGCTTATTTTGAAGATGTAGTTTAGCTAGGTAAAAAGAGACAACCGATTCCATTACTACTGTGTACCTTCACATTCTGCTTTCTTAAAGTCGTATGTTGCAAATGTTACTGTATTATATCCCTGTTACCCTCATTTGTTTCTTAATACTCTACTTCTTACCTGATCCAAATTCTGCTCGCTTAGGACTTCTCGTTCGTAAGCGCTCGCGAAGTAGCCTATTGTTCCCTGTCCCTACTCAAGCATGTAGACCGGGCGTTTCCTGTTTTTGGCCAATCACAGCCTAGTATTTCAGCCCCATTCTATCCTCTCGGGAAACGCAATGCGTGTCCTCAGATACCACTAATGGGTCAAAAATCCTAAAACGCGAAACGCACTAGGTGGCTACAGACAGGCCTCGCAGATCTCCGTACGGGGTCGCGCTGCTTTATTTGCTATTGTAAATCAAGGGCTATCTAAAACAGCAAGAATACCTTTTACTTTATAAAAACAGACCTCTGTAGCTACTGAGCTATATATATACAATACGGCTAAATATATATTGCATCAGGATATCCATTGTAAGTTGTGTGTAGAATGCTTATATCAATATAATTATAGCTTATACCTAGTAAATGTAAAACTCTACTTTAGGTGACTCTTTATATCTTTATTGCACTGTATTTTCCGTCCCATAGTTCGTATGTGGCTTGCATATTTTGCCATTATATCTCTAATTAATATTTAGCTTAACGTACATGATAAGCGAAATGGTCAGATAAGCGAAATGGTCACTTTTCTCGACCTCTAAACTAGAAATCGGAATAAAAACACAACAAATTAATTAATTAACTAAAACTACTCACTATACTCTTCCCCAGATGTCTCAATTATTACCTAACAGGTTCTTGCATTATGACCAGGCTTACCGCATATACCACAATGCCGAACCCTTGGTCGCGCCGACCTTCCTTGACCACCACTTCGGGATGATTCGGCCACTAACTGCGCATCAACATCCATCTGATCAATTACTTGCCTTCCTTCCTCTACTGTCATTACCCCTCTTTTCTGCAGTCGGGTCCTTCTTGCCCTCCGGCGCCGGCTTAATACCTCATTTGCCTGTTGAAGGTCTTGGACCTGACCCCGTAATAAGGTAACCTCATGCATAACTGCCTTTGTTCCCTTTGAAAGAGACTTCAGAGCGCCTAGGATTGACTCTGGGGAGCTGTTCTGATGCCTTCTAATTCGTCTTTCAATATATTCAGACTGAGACCCAGCCTCAAGCACGGTCTTTGGGGTCTTTGAGACCCAAGGTGTTGACGGGCTAGCCATCTCCTCAACTGGCGTTGGAGTCCGTTGCTGCATATCAAGCTTTGAGACCACATTTTCCGCATTAAGAGGAACAAGCCCAGCTCCTCTAAAGGCCGACTTGATATTTCTTTCTGTCATAGTGGCTTGAAATGCGGCATAAAAGGCCGGAAAGAACTCAGTCTTCGAAACGTGGGTTATAGAGCATCTGATCAAATGCTCTATTTCTCGACCGTAAGCATTCTTAAGAACGCTAAAGCACCCGAAGTCAAGGGGCTGAAGTAGATGAGACGAATGAGGCGGCATACAAAGCCTAATGATCTTATTTTCCTCGCAATATCTCTCGAAGTCGATCGAGTGGTGGCTTTCATGCCCATCAAGGATTAAGAGACGATAGGAACCAGTTGATCGATTGGTCGTACACTGGTCAAAGTGCTTTAGCCACTCTAAACCGGTCTTATTATCGGTCCAGCCATTTTGGGTTGTTGTAATAGCCCAATCGCCCGGGAGGTTGCTTTCTCGGTACCAGTTGGCGAGGTGATATTGGCCCGCACCGATGATAAACGGCTGGACCGCCCAGCCATCTGCATTAATCGCCTGAATGACCGTAATCCATTCCCGGTTTCCAGGCTGCACTGATTTTGGTTTTCCACGCCTATCTGTACCTGTGACGACCATTCCGCTTGCAATCATGCCCATAAGAAAGCCAGTCTCGTCAACGTTATAGATATCATTTGATCGGATGCCATATTTCGCGATTGTATTCGACACAAGCGTAAACCAGTTACGGATAATAGTTGGATCTTCACACTTGGCTCTCTGGTAGTCGTATTTCCGAAAAGAACGCGTCTTAAGGTCTGGGTGTCGCTTGACGAAGTTTGAAGCCCAACGCGTGCCGACTGGTGGCGCGTCGCGGTCGGCAAGTAATTGATCAGCCATTTCTTTCACACTACATAGCCGGGGGGGAAATCCTCGCGAATCCAGGTCAAGAATAAACTGAATAAGAGTCTCTTCCTCTAAATCAGATAGTTTGCGTGAATTAGGCATTATATCGCGTCGAGCAGGAATGCCATTATATCGGTTAAGGAGGTTACTATAGCGAACTTTATAGATCTTTGCAGCGCGTCGAAGACTCAATTTTGGGTCATTCTGGTAGGCTTGAAGTGCAAGAATGATATTTGCCTCATTAATTGATTGTGGCATATTAGGTGGTTGAGAAATAAGTAATCAAATAGAAAGAGGAGAGATTGAGGGAAAAGTGACCATTTCGCTTATCTGACCATTTCGCTTATCATGTACGTTAAAAGGTTAGGAATAATTATCATCAGTAGGGTAATAGATGGGCAGACTTCAGCCAGCCTCACTCATGCTAGACTCAGCTTGTCGCAGTTACGTTTAGCCATCCATGCTCCAAAAAGTAAAGATATCTAACATGATTTGCCCCGCTGCATGTGTCATTAGGTAGCATATCATTAGTAGGAACAGTCTTATTATGCCAGATTAAGTAAGGTAAGTCTTAATATTAATTCGAGATCAGTATTGCTCAGGTCCGAGCGAGAAGTCATATGCACAATGGAGAGTAATAATAGCGACACTTGCACTCAACAGCGATCGGCTTGGGCCAAAATCTTACGTAGATACAATTTTTCTCCCAGCTTAAGAACAAAAAGCTAACATTCAGGCAGAACCAGATAATCCGGACTTTTTGAAATCTGAAAGTTATATTGAGGTTTTAAGACTTGAGCCCGACAAGGACCATAATCAATTTAACAAGTCTCTCGATATATATCTCGAACTTCACACCAAGAACATTTCGGTCACGCTGGGCATGAGAGAAGAACACATCCCTTACACAACCGAGTTGGCAGCTATCGCTCATGGCCTTAGCTATCTGCCGGAGAAGAAGTATCGAGTCATTGTGATCTTGACGAGTAACAGATCTGCGGCACAGGTCATAGACAACCTTCGCCAACAATCGAGTCAAGGGCACATCGGAGAGTTATACGATGCTATAGAGAAGCTTCGAGGAGATGGGAACAGAGTCAACCTCATCTGGCTACCGTCTAATAGTGTGCTCAAAATTCAGAAGATAGCCAAGATGTCAGCCCGCCATGCAACGGAGCCATACGTCACGACACGGAGAGGATCGCTAAAGCGAAGACTACAACCCTTAATCGAACGAGGGCGGATCTATGAAGCGAGAGGAAACTACCGGAAGGAGTGGGCAGGCATTCTAGAAACGTTGACTCAGCTCTGCCTGGTAAACATACTCGCCAGCTGTACGACCATCTCAATAAAAAATTAACAATCAAGTCTCATGAAATATATTTTCACCCAGCACTACTGCGCAATATGAACAACAATTGTGCTCTTCCTCAATCTTCAGCACGAACCCTCGATTTGCAAGCGGCGATGTCCAAGAGTGTATGGCTCGAAAACGCCTAACCATTGATGCTATATCATCGATGTAACAATTCTGGCTTCTCATATGTGATGAGCAGTCTGCCATTCGCACTCACAAACCGCACTTTCCGACTGGCGACGGGTGCTTCGCGCGAGGTGTGGTTCATCGTTATGCACCCCAAGGAGGCGGAGATGGTCGAGCTCGGAGGTGGACGACAATAGAAAAGAAGCAAAAGAGGCAAGACGACCTTGCTATCGGAACATGGTAGCTGCCTGCGGCGAGACCACGCGGAAGCTCTCCCGTCCTACATCAAAGACCTCTTCTTGGACGGGCAGCTCTTGGGAGAAGGGGTGGAGCCATCTTGGAAGCTGAACGGCAGTCAATCGCAGACGCTCTCGTATGAGAAGTGGACTGTCTTTCAAGAGCTGTTCGTAGAGGGCTGACAAGGGCTCTGCGAGCGGTACGGCCACGACAGATTCTGGAGTGATCACCAGCCGGCGCTCCATGAGTACGATTAGGGAGCCAACATTGAGATCAAGGTTAACGGCCAGCTTCAGGCGCTTCCGAACGAGACCCGACTCCGTACAGCGAGCGAGGATGAAGAGAGCGACAGTGATAGCGATGCGGATGGTCAGACAGCTGCGGGGGGCTCGAACTGTGATGAGAATGAACACCGCGGCAGCCAAGAATCTGGCTTATTCATGGGCGAAAGTGGCGGGAGTAGCGAGGATAACGCCGACGGCAGTAGCGGCCCACCGGGTGGTTCACGACCCGCTGAAGATGATGAGGATGATGATGGCGTTGAGGCTCAGCGAGACCTCTATAGTGACAGACTGGAGAGGTTGAGGACAAAGTTGGAGCAGAAGTACAATCTGGATCATATTGATCAGGTGTCCTACGCTCTGGCTGCTGATATCAACCACTCCAGGGAGGGTGGAGCAACTACTGGAAGGGGTAGTGACGATGATGATGAGGTCGAATCCAGCGCTGATACCGAGCTGGCTTGCCTGCTAGCTGATCACTGCCAGGTGTCAGGTCAATACCACGGAGCCCGGCAGTTCACCTTTTATCCGCTAGGTTTTCACTAGCGGTATGGCAACTTCTCCTCCGCGCGGCCACCTCGGTTTCTCAACAACATCTGCACCGCCATGCAGGACAACATGAGTCTCCAGAACGACGAAGCTCAGGTTCTGTCCTTTAGATTCTTTCAAGGCTACTCCAACATCAAGCGGTCGATTCGCAACCGACCGGAAGAGCTTCTCGCCACGAAAGGCATCGCTACTGCGGCGCTGACAATGCCACCATCGAAAGCCAAGATCGTGGGCGGACGCACCCGCAGTAAGCAGCAGAAGCTTCTACGGCGGCTCCGGGGAGAGCTTGCGGCAGAATAACCAGCTTCTTCAACGCCATTTGCGCGGGAGAGGCAGCGGATCCAGGCGGCGATGGCACAGGATCAGTTCGCATTCCGGATGGAGCAGGTAGCCACCGCCAAAGTACCCAAACTCAAGACGCAGAGGCGGCACTTCTTCAGCGTCCTGCAACCGATCTTCCAGCTCATGCGATTCTTTCTCAAGGAGACGACAGTATATTCGTCCATTCTCCGGAGCTTCCGACCTTTAATCTTCTCAAACATTGCGGTGTTTCGCTACCAACCAAGACTCAGAAAGAAAGATGGTATATGGAGATGGTCACGCCTCGAGGGCTCAACATAAGGCGAGAAAACAGCCGGAAAGTATCCATGTCTCTCCAAGTCTTATCAGTTGCCGAAGGCTGATTGGCTATCGTGAGCGAAGATATCAAGTCCACGCTCTTCGGTGTCGTCGAACCATACCAACAAAGCCGCTGTGACAACCATTCTCCGATCTCAAAACGCAAAGTGTTGTAAGAGTTTCTTAATAATAATAACTAGACTCTATGAAGTACAGAATTTTGTTTGATACAAACACAAGACGGTCACAGAGCACTAGGTATCAATCTCTGTGACAGGCGAACCCTTCGTTGCTTTTACTATCTAGCCCTCGACTACCGCGAACAATGTGCTAGTGAGATATGTAACTATGGCCCTTTGTAGCCAACCAAGTATGTGTTGTGATGACAAGGGTTGGGAAACCAGACCGCAAGCTCAATGACCGACACTGCACGAAAATGGTCGGCTGATTGAACCTGATTCGAACTTCTTCATCTGACAACCAGGTTAGATGCCGACACACCAAGAATAGAGAAGAATAGGAGCTCACAATTTCCACAACACTGGCATAGGTACCAATACCAAAAACTGTAAAGCCGATGATGAATACAATCAAATTCGCAATGGCCGGTCGGAGGTTGTGCCTTTCGTACCACTTTCCTTCTTTAAGCAGGCAAAACCACATGATAGGAGGGATATAGAACGAGAGTCCTGCAACAAAGAGGCAGCCGGTAAGGGACAATAACTCGGAAAAAAAGGGAATAGCCTCGGCGATGATCCATGAGAAGAAGGTTACAAAAGAGACAACGATGATCCAAGTTGCCCAGCCCTTACGGGTGTTGATGTACCGCGTGATCGAATCTTGATACATTCTTCCATGCATGAATCGGCAAGCAACAGTCGTATTGATAGAGCCGGAGATGTATATGACTGGAAGCGCGATACCAAAGGCTATCTTGGCGACCATGGGGCCGGCTGAAAGCAACGCCGGGGACTGGACGTCTTGTCCCACGAAGGCGTAAATGAGAGCCCCAGTGAGCGTGTAGATGGTGCATTGAATGATTCCAAAGAAAGTAATAGACTTGGTGAAATCCGCCGGCGTGTGCATCTCGTCCATAAACGAGAACTATTAACCTGAGTCAGAAGGAGGGGCATGGAACAAGAGGTGGAGCAGTACCTGTGCTGCAGCAAATGCATATGCAAAAACAATACCTGAAATGGCGACGAACGCTTCAGCGAGGGTGAGGTCGTCCTTGGGCCATGCGGACCAGGGATTCGTGATCTCATTTGACGATGACTTGATGCCCGTGGCAATAACCGTGATGCCAATCGCGAGGATGATTGAGGCAAAGTCGATGTAGCCCAGGATTGCAACTTCGCAGAAAGAAGGTGGAATGGCTAGAATCAACAAGATTATAGCAGAGACAACTCCAAAGACCAAGGAGCATACGTTGCTCTCAGTCAAGGTGACGAGTGCAATAGTGCCCGTAAAGCAATGCGACCCAACTACTAGAATAAGTAAGCCGACGAAGATGACACTAAATAGCTTATCACCAAAGCTGCCTAAGAGAAGTCTTCCAACGTCAGCGTAATGATGAATTTCTGGGAATTTGAGCTTGACGAGGCCGATGATGTAGCTGGCGTAGATAGCGATGAAACCAAAGCCGATGGTGACGATGACACCCGCAACCATACCCAGCGTTGCGAACGCGCCTGGAAGACTGAGGCTACCAAGGGCGATAGAGGTGACCATGAGAACAACCGTGAGGCGTTTCCAGCCAAGACGATGGAAGTAAGCATCGCCCTGAGCTGTCCTTTCTTTCTCGAGATCTACAACCATGACTTGGCCGACGCCATGTTCAGAGCCCTGGGGGGCAAACTCGATGTGGTCTTTGTCCCCTGGCTTGTCCTCAGGACGATGGGAAGTGATTCGGTTACAATCCATGGTTGTTGATATCGATTTTTAAGGGTAAGCGGGGATTGTAGAGTTTTTAAAAAGGAATGGGGGAAAACCCGGCGGATATCACAGTCTCTTATAAGATGCCGCGAACGACAAAAGCTCGGCTGTACAGAATATCACGTCGATATTCACTGACTAACAGCAGACATGCTACACGGTTACTGAACAGGCCAAGTCCTTTTTGAGAGGCGTTAGTCTAGACTGTGGAACCTCCTTCCCCATGGGGATGATAACTCGCGCCGATGACCCCAAGAATCTCCGCAAAATTCTTATCCTGATCCAGACAAAACTTTCTGAGATTCGAGGAGTGGGAGACCTATCGGTCGGACGAGGAGGGGGGTTGGAGACTCGGGTACTCCGCAGAGGCTACCACCTTGAGGCTTGTGCTAACTCCTAGCGGGTTCGGGGTTGTGACGGTTAGTAGCAAATGATGTTATGCCACTCCAGGTAAAATCCGAGGTCACACGTCCGGGGCGAATGATGATCTCTTCTCGTCATGATAGGAGAGTATCACTCTCGCTTGTTCTCACGACTACTCACCTTTCGGGCTTGGACAATCCTGCTCTTCCCTCGCACCTTGGGAAATGGCGCGGTGTGATCAACTGTCGTTGGCCTTACCGATTTCATCCCCTTCCACGGGACACAGTCATTGTCTCTACCATCCGGTATATCAAGCTCTTGTCTAGTAGGCAATGACATTACTTGAGATCTATGTTACACGATAGAGATAGCGGTCACCGGAATCGACTCGAATATTAGCAATGCTCCTACGCCTCCATTCCGACACTTGATCCCCGTTTGCAGACCGGGCTGCGGGGCGATGTAGAATCATTATCGGACAACAAACACGACTGGTTGAAGCTTAAATCGCTAACGAATCGTTCGCAAGGCATGGAGAGGCCGATGTTGCCGATGTTGCCAATGTTGCCGTGGGAGATAGGTCGATTCATGTGGAGTGAAAACGCTTTGAAGTTGACAATCTTGACTAAAAGGCGCCTAGTGTGGGGAGCTGACACGGGGGCTATGACAATAGGGCACACTATCCCTGGCGGCCGATGACAAGATTTCTTGAACCTTCCCGGCTGCATTACGTCTTAGGGATGATCTAGTGCTTCGCAGGATTGAGGTTGACTCCGTTCACCTTAGGTGACATTGACTAAGGGGTTCTGGCTGACGCCCTTTGCTCGACGCCACTTCCCACCAGGGCACGACATGGCCTGATGGGAAATGCCCAGTTTGACTTTCCCCTTGTTCGGAAGCTATGTACGGGATCACGTAACACTTTCCTGACTCAGTGTTCGTCTCTTTTGCTCCCTTCTGCCGTTCCCCCTAGGCACCCTACGACGATCGGATATTGAGGCTTGAGAGTCATCGTGCTGTGGCGACTCTTCGTAGTAATTCTGGCTGCATATCCTGGGACGACTACGTTACGGCAGTCAACATACAGTCTGCTCAAGTTTCCAGACGCCTTTGTTCCATTCCCGGCTTGTCATTCTCCACACTCAGGACTCAACCAGAATGGCTTCCAATGAGACCAACGGCAAGCCCGACAACTTCGTGTTCACGGCTGAGGCCCTCCAAAAGGCCCCGCCAAGCATGGCAATGGCCACGAGAGCCATCCATGCGGATGACTTTGTGAGTCCTCACCACGCAATCGCGCCGGCGATACACGTGGCTGTCTGTTACAGATACTCGAGAAACCCTGACAACCTCGTTCCGAAGGTTACTGATGATGTATGTACTGGACATTCCTTTCCACCGAGACTTTACTACCCCTGTGTGATGACTCAATGCGCCGTTTGACTCGCACGTTTACGCTCGCGGGTCGGGCGCCCAGCTCTAACCGTCTGAGTTCCTCTTACGCGATTTGTTTGGCGGAGATGGCTACCATGGCGTTCACGGAACTGTAGAAGTCATAGAAAAGCTCAACGGGATGAAGAAACCCACCCTGAAGCACTTCGATTAGTTACAAGCCAGTGATAGGGTGTACGTCGAGACACCCCTGAACCCCACAGACGAGGCTCGCAATCTCGAGTACTACAGGTTACAGGCTTGTAAGCAAAGAAGCAAGCAGGCCATTAAGCACCCGCCTTGCCATTAAGAGTGTGGCCGCGGCACTTATATTGAGTGTCCTCTTTCAAGTGGAAAAGGAAAATAGGGGCAACGGCTCAATCATGACGCGTAAAAGTCCCTTTTCACATGAAACTTGAGCTGCCATGATGCTGTAGGGACTACTTAGGATGATCTCAAGGTACACAGTTCTATTTAATAAGATATCTGTATGAGGAACTACTTAGTTCAAGCTTTCCTCTAAGTCCTGAAAATGTTAGCGTACGGTTCGATACTTGAAGAAGCATGCATACCCAATTGATCATATCGATGTCTATCCAGTCCCGAATATCAGCCCAATCTCCGAACAGGTTTTCAAGCTGAGTTCTTGTACCCGTCATCGGGGCGTTTCCTACCCCTGATTGAGTTCTGCAGGCGACATTCAATTAGTTCAAGAGGACCAAGTGCTAGAGAGTAACATACTGCAAATGATCAAGTATCTGATGCCCCTTAGAACAGATTCTACTTCGATCTGAGAGGGCTTTCATCCGAAGAGCCAGAGATTTAATTTCCTCCCGGAAGGAGTCCAAGTTGTATCGTGGATCAACTGTCATTGACTCATCTTGAAGACAGGAATTGAGGGCCACAGCTGCGTGAAGCGCCTTCAAGCTTGTCACCCCACTAAGTAACCACAGATAATTTCGAAGTAACGGGGCTTCATAAATCTGTTTGTGAATAGATATTAAGGCTGTGCTAGAGCTGATGCATCTTTCTCTAGACGTCGAAAGAAATGAAGCTGCCCTCGAATGATGGAATGGTCGGTGGAGAAGGAGGTAGAGGTGATGTGCGTATGTCTGTAAGACACACCAATATGCGTATTGAGTAGGTTCCAAAAGATTTGGAGAACCATCGATCATATACATCGAGTCCCATTTCTTTTGCTCCTCAGCTATTGCTGCATCCCATTGATGTAGTGAACGTTGGTCTAGCCGCGAAGGTCCCGATATATGACGACACATTTGTGTAGAAAGCCGGAAGAGCCGAATCTTGGCCATCATGACTGACATCTGTGTAGGCTCACCACGACCGGGTGACTCGGATATGCCTTCATCTGTAATATCAGAATCATTGACGTCTGCTGGCAAGATGGCCTTAATGTTAAGAAGATATGACATATCAACATCGCGAAATAGGATGCCCTGATATGTATGTAGCGTCAAGAGACCAGCCCAACAGCGTCGCCGTCTTTCGGTCTCAATGGGACTTAGGTTCTGGTCCATGTTGCACCGTAATGCGATACCAATGTTTAGCGCCATCCCCAATAATGCCCAGCCCTGATCGACAGACTCATTGTGGGATAGACAGTAGATTACCGTGAGTAAAGCCTCGAATGTGCTGAATTTGTGCCGGAATATGAAACCATCCTGTAATAGACAGGTCATCGCCATCCGCAGGAGATGGTGAGACGTCAAAACCGTGGCAGGAGCTCGTATGGGGCCTGAAGGCTGTGGAGGCCACAAAGATAACAGCCTAGGATCACTTTCATCCATAGTATTCAAAGCCAAAGAGCATAAGGAAAAAAGCAAGGCCAGCCACGATAAGTCGACATCCTGAGGCTGTCGAACGAACGCTGTATACTGCTTTTGGAAAGTAGGCCCATGGAGAATAGGGAACAATACAAAAATATTTTTAAAAAAGTGGGAGATCAAATAGTCGCAACAGGACCTAGGAGGAAGAGAATCGAGAATCTCTTGAACTGACATGCGCGGAGCGATTGAAAGAAACGGCAAGGTATCATTAGCATCGTATTCCGGGGCTGGCCTCTCAAGGACGGTTTCCCAGCGTGTATGTAGGGGAGATTGGATCGTTTCGGGCGACAGTAGAACCGAAGCACTGGCACCATTTGATCTCGGAGTGTCCTGGTGCTCTACTCCATCACCCATCACTGCTGCCGCCTGGGCAGAACCTGGCGCTGTCGAACTCTGGGCTGACCCAGGTGCAACAGGGGAAATCTCATAGGAGCAGCTGGCCTCGCGTCGACGCCGTTTACAAGCGCCACATGGGTGCTGGCGATCGCATCGTAACTTGGAGCGTCGGCATTCCCCGCAATTCACGGCTTTGCGCTTTCGCCAATGAGACCGATGAGGTTGCTCCGAGGGCTCCATGTAGGCCGAGATATCTTGAGGTATTGCCTTCAAGTGATGAGAACGAGAACTAGAGAGGAAATTTCTAACCTGGCAGAAGTCCGATGCGGCAGTTGTTGGTCCGAGACAAGTCATGGGTCGGCTCGGTCGAGGAAGATCGAGGCGGAGAAACCTCCTGCCGATCCCCGATTGTTCCGATACAGCCACACTTATTAAATCCGAGGCGTAGGGAGGGTGACGTCGTTTTGCCACTCGTGTGGAGTTTGGTTGAGACTTGTCGGATACGCGAGTAGGGTTTATGTCCAATTAACATGAGGTTAATTTTCACACCTGAGGGTCAATCTAGTCCCCAAGAGCTCGTTCTTCTTCTTCTGTCTCTGTTCTGTCCTGTCCTTCCAGGTGTTTTCCCCCGCCACTCGGTATTCATATATCCGGGGACCCACAAAATACACGTTTCTTGTATCGGGGCGCTATCACTAAGGGATTTCCCAGTGATCCGCCGGATCCGGTGATCTGCCGGATTATTGCCAACTTACATGGGCGACTTCAATCTAGCATAGCTCAACAAGCACTTGTCAAAATGCGCTAAAACTACGAAGATGATATAATTATTTCCTTAAGACTTATTTCAATTAACTTCGAAGTCATCAAGCCATCGCGGTCGTTTCCTGTTCCGCTGCGATCGCCCCGAGTCCCGATATGCCACCACTACCTCCCGATCGCTCTCGACAACTAAAGAAGGCCCTTTAGGCCGAGTTTTATGGCTGGGTGGCGTCGACGCCTTTGTATTTGGGGTACTTAATGCTTCGTTGGGTGGCTTGAATAATACGGGGGGTTGGGTGACTGTGGGAAGAACGACGATGATTTCGTCCTGAATGGCCCCATTCTCTTCGAGACCATCTGAGCCATTCTGCTGTGCCTGATGCTTCGGTTGTATACTCCGCTGATTCTGCTTCTTCATCTCAATCCGAAGCTGCCGGTTTGCTTCTCTCTCAAGCTGCTTTGTTTCTTTTTCCCGCCGTTTTCTTTCCTTTTTCTCCTCCCGCTGCCTCTTCCTCTCTAATACCTGTTGCTTTTGCTCCTCTACTCTTTTCTGCCGCAGAGCCTTTTCAGTTCTCTTCTGGAGAACCTCCTCTTCCTTCTGCGCCTCCATTTCAATTTTCTTCTGGCGAGCTTGGGCGATCTTTTGCGGGCTAAACACCTGAGCTGAATTAGGATCCACACGATCAAAGATATAGTCTTTCAGGGCTTTACCACGCTGCCTGCGCTGTTTTTCACGGATAATTGTCTCACGGAGGCCTTTGTTCTCATGCCTGAGTAGTTCAACCTCGGCCTGAAGGCTTTCAAGGGTTCTCTTTAGCTTTCGGGCGCCTGTGTCAGAGCTGACTGAGGATTGCTTCACGACATGATCAACAAGTCGCCGTAATTCTCGTGCAGTAGGTTCTTGTAAAGCAATGGAATCATCCAAGCCACTTTCCACATCTGAGTCATCGTCCGTATTCTTCGAAACCTGAGATAGGACGACGTCGGGATCGAAAGGCTTGAGACCCGTCCGTGTCCACCCACTGGCGATGTTCTCCGGAGTGAAAGAAGCTTCCAATGCACCCCAGAACAGGACCCAAAACTCGCGTTTGGAGAGCCCAGTGAGGCCTTGCGTCTTTGAAGTCCACTGAACAAGTCGGTTGGTATAGGCTGTTGATAAGGGCCCGAAAAGCGAGACGTCCAGGGGTTGTAGCCGGTGAGTAGAGTGAGGTGGGAATACCGCAACGATGATCCGATGCGCGTCACACCAGTCCAAGAAGTCCATATTGATGTGGCTAGAGTGCCCATCGGTGATGAGAAGGCGGTAATCGCGCCCATTTCTTGCTTTCGCCTTAGTAAAGCGGTCGAAAACACCAATCAGCCACTCTTTCCCGAGTTCGTGACTCGTCCAGCCAGTTTCGGACGTGGAAAAGAAGGCTGATTGATGCTCCGGATCAAAGTCAGTGAGCCAAGTGTCCTGAACTTGTCCCGGCTTGCCCTGGTAGATGAGGAATGGGGGTAGCGATGTCATGTCTTGGCAGATGCACGCCAGGAACGTGATCCACGACCGGTTCCCATCCTGGGAAGCACCGAGCAATTTGCCTTGCCTTTTAGCATTGACATCAAATACTCTCTGCGTTCGGTTGATTACGCCCATGAGAAATCCCTTCTCATCCATGTTATACGTGTTCTGAGGTAAGATGTCGTATTTGTCGATTTTTCCACGGATCTTCCATGATTAGCAACGAACCAAAGGCGCTACGAGTCTGCTTACTAGATCAAAATATGCTCTATACCGAGAAGCATTGTCGGCTCTTCTTCGTGCTATATCAAATCCATCAAACCAGGTACAATCGATCTCGTTGCGATGACGCTGGACGAAGCTGTATGGCCAGTTCTTTCCGACCTCGATTTTCGCTATGTCCTGAGCAAAATTTCGGATCATGGATAGGGTTGGCGGAATGCCACGCAGTGAGAGTTTACGGATATAAGTAACAAGATCTTGTTCCTGTTGTTTTGACAGACGAGATTTATACAAAGAGTCGGCATCGCGTCTTGCCCTCTGTTTGCCCTGATGGCGGCGGCGCAGGGTGGTCTCGTCACATTCGAACTTTTTAGCGGTAGCAGCATAGTTAATAGATCCTGAGGTTTTCAGAAACTCGAGCGCTTTATCGATTGCTGCCATGGTTGTTGAGTTATTAAAGATTGAAGTTGGGAGTGAATATCGGTGTGAGTCCGGCAGATCATCGGATCCGGCGGATCACCGGGAAATCCCTTAATCCAACAAGACTAAGTGTCGCAGGGTAGGCATTAGTAATCTAGCTATGCTTTAAGTAACTCTGCGGGATGGAATACCCCGCACAAGAGAGAACTTAGAACAATCAATCAACCTATTTGCTGCTGCTGATCATATTCACTCTAACCCTTTAAGCACGCTCAGTGCGACACTAAGGCATCGGAGATGTTGTTTTAAGCGGAGCCATTGATGTCCGATGCCGTAGCACACGACCTTGCAGTCTTGTCGTCAGACCGTGTGCGTCGATTGAGACCGGAGTAACTCGGTGAGCACATTTACTCAGCTTAATTTATATCAGAAGAAATTCCATTCCAGCGACATGACTAATAGTAAAGAATATTTTTGTGTCTTTTCAACGTTTTCCTAATCCCAGCGTCGTAAAGGAATTGGCAGCTATGGAGGCTTATTTCCAGTACCAGAGAGTCCGACGAGCAGTCCATCAGCAGCTGGCCGAGCTGAAGGAAGACTGCAGTTGCCGAAGCTACATCGTCGGATCTCCCCATGACATCAAGTAAGTATGCGCTAAAATGGTTCGACTTTCTGTGTGTCTGACAAACTCCACAGCTGTAAAGTGAGCAACCGACGTGGCACCCCAAATGAGTGTCTTGCCGAGAAATCGATTGTTACGGACGACCTCATACTCGTGGGCTGGGACGGGCAACATGACCCCTTGAACCCTGCAAACCAAAGTGTTGGGCGTAAGCTCTTCATGACTGTCTTGGTCTCTCTCATTGCGCTTTCTGTCACTGCGGCATCTGCTATCGATGCTTGTGGTGTCAGGGAATACAGCGAGCATTTCCAAGTATCCGAGGTCGTTGGATCTCTAGCAACAGGTATGCTGGAAACTTTCTCTTATTACAACCCATCTCATGTGGAACGACTCTAACTGAGTCTTCGGATGGTCAACAGGTCTTTTCCTCATTGGTTTCGCCTTCGGATCTCTTCTTTCCGGCCCCTTCTCGGAAACGTTTGGTCGTAATGCCGTATATTTGACGACCATGATATTGTATTTGCTCTTTATTATGGCTTCAGGACTCGCCCCCAATCTTGGAAGCCACCTCACATTTCGCTTCATCGCCGGCTTCTTTGCTTCCACTCCACTAAGCTGTGCTGGTGGTACTGTTGCGGATCTATGGAATCCACTGGAGAAGACTTATGCTTTTCCTGTATATGCGATACCGGCATTTGCAGGGCCTATGATTGGCCAAATGATTGGAAGCTACATTCCAGTTACGTTAGGCTGGCGTTGGCTCGAGTGGATAATGCTTATAATGGGAGGTGCTGTCCTAGTTCTGATCCTCTTGTTTCAACCCGAGACTTACGGCAATCTCATCCTCAGCTGGAAAGCCTCAATACTTCGAAAGGAAACTGGGGATGGGAGATACAGATCTCCCATGGAGATGAACCGGGAGACTCTAGGCCACCGCCTGAAGCTCTCCGTGTACCGACCTTTCGCCATGTTTTATTCCGAACTGATTATCATCTTGGTATCACTCTATTTGACCATCATCTATATCGTGCTCTTCACTTTTCTGGAGGGATATGCCTACGTCTTCGGGCAAACATATGGCATATCAGAGAGCCTGACAAGTCTTTGCTGGGCAGGTATGCTATTTGGCATTCTACTTGTCGGCTTCATTGTGCCAGTGGTCTACAGCTTGACCGCTAAGGCTCAATTCCGAGAGAAAGCCTGTGGGTTTGCCCCTGAAATGAGACTTTGGTATACAATGCTTGGTGGTGCACCAGCGGTGCCCATCAGCCTGTTCTGGATGGGATGGACTAGTAATGTAAGTCGCTGGTCAATGCAACTTATTTGTAAAAGACTAACATTACAATTTAGCCACTAATATCAATTTGGTCTCCGCTTATCGCCTCCGTCCTCTTTGGCTTCGGCATCACGACTATTTTTATTGTTTCATACATGTATCTCATCGATTCCTATGACACGTATTCGGCTTCAGCGCTGGGGTTTCTTGTGTTTACTCGTTACGTCGTCGCGGGAGGTGTCACTGTTGCTGGTGGTCCAATCTATCGGGCTCTTGGTGTGCAACATACTCTGACGGTTCTTGGGTCTGTCAGTGGGTTAATGACTCCCGTTCCCTACTTGCTGTATATCTATGGATCAAAGATCCGTAAGAACAGCAGATATGCTGTGTATAGTAACACAAATGACGTCTTCCCGTAATTTACGAAGACGTCACGCGGAATTGCAGAAACAAGGAATAGAAAGCGCGCAATTCTGTTGAAGTCTACAATACTCTACCCTTCCGTAATAGACGGTCGCTATTTAGACATAAGCTAAAAGACAATGGATGTGAATATTATAGAGCAAATTTTGTTCCAGATTGATTAAAGTGTAAATACGAATTAGCCGCCTTTGGAGTCGAGTGGGTGAGATCAATTTTGAGTTGTATAAGAGCCCGAGGCATAGGCGGAAGCTGAATATTTAATCATGCGGGAACAGAGGAATGAAGTCTTGTGGCTCAAGTTGTTAAACATTTCGACCATAGATGCGATTATGTTTTAGAGTGTTATGAGGCTGGGCATGGGGACTGCTCGCAACTGGTGATGGAAGAATGTAAAAGGAAAAAAAAAAAGGATTTTCCATGAAGAGGTTTTGCGGGATCAGAAAATTGGAAATTGATCAAGATATCTTCAGTACTATCAAAACAGAGATCATTTGGCAGTTTCCAATAGCTGTTACATACACCTGACCTAGCACCTCTTGCGATACAGGTATGCAAGTACGTTAATAAACATTCAACCTTCTAACAGCGCTTTAAACCCATTTGATAGGTCTTTTTGAAGATCCTCTAGTGATTCAATACCCACGCTGATTCGCAGAATGTCACCCGGCGCTGAATGATCCGACATCTTTCTCCATTCAATCAAGCTTTCCACGCCACCAAGGCTGGTTGCATGTTGGAATATACGGAGTTTGCTCGGAAGCCACTGAGCATACTTCTCCGTTTTCATAGTCAGGCTAAAAACAGGGCCGAATCCATTCGGCATTTGCTTTGTTAGCCACTCCATATCGGAGCTTTGAAGACTGGCATGTGTAATGTTTTCCACAGTCGAATTTACCTCATTCGGCTTGTTGTCTTTGATCTTTTCGGTCATCCAGGTGACAATGGCAGTGCAATTGTTACTTTGGGTTCGACAGCGCACATCCAAAGTCCGCAAGCTTCGGAGGCCAAGCCACGACTCGAAGCCGCCGAGAAGGTTCCCCAGCGCACAACGATCCTCCCAAAGGCCCATAAAGAGATCTTCTCGCTTCACAGTTAATATGCCACACATGATGTCACTATGACCACCAATGAACTTGGTGCCACTGTGAATGACAATATCGGCACCCCATACGAATGGGTCTTGCAAAGCTGGTGGCCCAAACGTGGAGTCAACTACCAGATAAAGACCTTTCTCTTTAGCGATTTGAGAGTAGGCGGAGATGTTCCGCGCCTCGCCGGTCGGGTTCAAAGGGGTTTCGAGGTGAACAACGTCTCCGGGCTCGAGCTGATCCAATTCATCCAAGCCCACCTTGACAAGACCGGTCAGGCGATGATGTATGTCGAGAACAGCATGAGTCCCATGATAGCCTCCACCGATTGCGACTCTTTTGGGCCCAAGTCGTACGAGATAGGCATGTATGGCAGAGAGCCCAGTTGCATAGACCAGAGCGTCTCCCCTCAGGAGTTTTGTTAGGACAAGCTCGAGTCGAGATCCGGTAGGGCGGGCAAGTCGGGCATAGACCATGTCGGTTTTCTGTAACGGTACGGATTAATAAAATGGAAGCTCTCAATCTTGATCAACTTCTTACGGATAGAGTTCGTTGGGGTTCAAGCTTTTCAGGATCATGGGGGTATCGGAAAGTGGTGCTTGGGTGCATTGCTGGCGCAACATCAGGCCCGGCATAGCGATCATCCATATGGATAGCATTGGTAGCCAATGAGAAGGTGGCCTCTAGCTCTTCCACGGACAAAGACATGTTGTTTATGGGAGGATGGATGGTAGTCAACTTTGCATAGTGCGGAAAAGCAATATTCTAGAGCACATAATAACTATTTTATATTCAAGATTACAACATGTGCCGTCTTGGCACTTGACTCCACCAGGACCACGGCATCAGGTTGGTACATCGGCTGAACTTCATTGATATCCCCGCAATTGTTTACTCCGTTTGCCATCGGACTTGAGGTGTCGGGTTGAATAAATGCTCATCCCCAACTCCGAAAACGGTATCAGGCTTGTTTGGCGGCTGAACTTCTTTGATGTACCCGAGATTCTTAACTCCGTCTGCCGTCGGACTTGAGTGGGGGCGGGGTCGGATTAGTCCTCGCCCCCAACTCCGAGAACCCCATGTTAAAAACTTAATACCAGTCAGACAAAGGCAGTCCTTCCCTAGCCACCTATCCCTCAGCCCACCTTTCTGCGAGACTCGACTTCTTCTCTTTGACCAGTCGCTGTCGAAAAAACCAGAATCATCGATTCATTATTCAAAAGGTCCCATTATTTCCACACGGGCTTTGTACCTCGTCATCCACTATGTATATCCGCAAAGATCACGCAGAGACAGACCTCCGTGTTCTACGGCGTCTCGTTCGGGAGAACCCCCTCGGTCTTCTCACCACGGTCATCTCGTCCCCTTCGGGGTCTTACCCTCTTGCCCAAGCCAGTCACATCCCGTGGGTGCTGGATATCGAAGATGAGGAGAGCGAGACAGAGCTGGGAACTTTGAGAGGTCATCTTGCCAGGCAAAACCCCCAGAGTAAGGCCATTATCGAAGAAACTACCGCCAAGAACACACAGGTCCTCGAGAATGATGTACTTGTCATCTTTCAATCCCCGGTTCATCATTATATTCCTCCCCTGTTCCTGGCCGAGACCAAGCCCACCACTGCCAAGGTCGTTCCTACATGGAATTATGCCGCCGTTCAGATCTATGGTAAGGCCAAGGTCTATGTTGATTCAAAGTCAACCGAGACATCCGAGTACCTCACTTCGCAAATCAACGCTCTCACTCGCCACGCAGAGATTAACCTTATGGGATTCAATGGCAAGGGCAATAGCCCCGAACCTTGGAAGGTATCTGACGCGCCCGAGAGGTATATCGAGCTCATGAAGAAGGCTATTATAGGTATTGATATCAAGATTGAGCGGTTTGAGGGGAAGTTCAAGATGAGCCAGGAAGAGGCTCGGGGTGACAGCGATGGAGTGATTGCAGGGTTCCGAGGACTGGGCACTGAGACAGGACAGAGAGTCGCAGACCTTGTCGAAGAGCGCCGAGAAATGAAGGATAAGGCGAAGACAGAACAGCTATCAAAGGGCACTTCCTAAGAAGTCGCTGGGATACAATCTGTATATTAGCTCGTACAAAAGATATTACCATATGATATTAGATAGCTTATTTATGGAACCTACTTAAGCTTCTTAAAATAAAAACTGAGTGTATCTTAAGTAACAATATCACCTAACATAAGTAAACCTTTAGATAACTGCCTGTTTCACCTTTAGGATCTACAGCGTCCTTCAATATAACCAACTCAGTGTTGCAGCCGCTTGGTCGCCCACTATGACAGTCAGGCCACTACCCTTTGGCTCACCACCCGCAATCACGACAATAAAGCCCGTTTCTTGAAGAAAATCCTCGGTCTCACCCACGATCTTGTTGATAAAGTCGCGTTGCCATGGGGGCGATGGACCTAAGTGTTCATTCTGTTCTGGACAATGGTTTGAATAACCTGCTCACTTTCCAACTTGGCGACTTCAGCACTGTTGAAGTATAAGCCTCAACAGTATTGTGGGTGTAACCCTTTTTTGATTCAACAAGTACGAGCTTGCTCTAGGATCGTTTTTGGATCGGTAGCGTTGCCGGAGAGGGCTGCGGCTCATGTGACGCCAAGAAGCTCATCTGCGGGGTCTGGCCAGTCAGATTGTCCCCATGGATGTCTTTGACCGTCGAAACCCGCCATACTCGTCGGACTCCTGCTGGTGAAGGCGCTCTGATTGCTTTAAAGGGATCTCTAGTAGGTATTGGTACTGATATTGGGGGTTCCATTCGCATTCCCTCCTCATTCTGTGGTTTCTATGGATTAAAGCCGTCCCATGGACGTCTTCCCTATCAGGGCATGGCAATTTCGATCGATGGCCAAATTACAATTCCTTCGGTAGTAGGCCCGATGGCAGCGTCCGTCAGTGGGTTGGGTCTTGTCACAAAAGCCCTTCTCAAGGAAGAACCGTGGCTCTATGACCCTAACGTGCTTGAACTCCCTTGGCGAGCGTCACAGTATGATGCCATGGCCAAGATCATTGCCGACGCCAATGTCGGACACGGCCGGTTGGCGTTCGGAATCATTGAGCATGACGGTGTCGTTGCTCCCCATCCTCCTGTCAAGCGAGCACTTCGAATTGTCGTTAATACCTTGGAGAAGTTGGGTCACCAGGTAAAGAACCTAAAATCCATGCCCGCACTTATCCCCTTCCACAGATGCTGAGAACTGCGCAGATAATCAGGTGGACGCCACCATCTCATGAACTTGGAGTTCGACTAGCCGTATGTGTTCCTGAATCTTACATATACAATATTTTATTGGATAACTGACTGACCATGCAGCTTACTGCATGGATATATGATGGTGGCGTAGACGTTCATCATCACATGGGTCTCGCGCATGAGCCCATTCCAGACGTTTTGGCTAGAACTTACGGAACCAAGCCCCTCCTCCAGTTCAACACCTCTGAGATTCATCGCAACAATGTTTTGCTCCGAGAATGGCGAAAAGCTTATCTCGATTACTGGAACAGTACAAGTAACCTAACTGGAACCGGCCGCCCTGTGGACGCCGTCATATGTCCAGTGGCTCCTTTCTGTGCTGTCCGTCCAACTAAATACCATTACTATGGGTACTCCGTGTGGCCGAATGCTACCGACTACACTGCTGGATCATTTCCTGTAACTTTGGCCAACAAACGAGTGGACACTAAGGATGAGTCCTATCAACCGATCAATGACATTGACCGGAAGGTGTATGATGACTGTGAGTCCCCTTTCTATCCATTGTTGCATCGGACTCTCTGAGACTAAACCTAAAAAGATGACGCTGAAATCTACGATAAGTCGCCTGCAGGTCTTCAGCTAGTGGCAAGGCGGTTTGAGGAAGAAAAAATGCTAGCCCTGCTGGAATATGTGGGTGAATTATTCAAGGCGTGAGAAACTAAAAACTGTTTCCCCTTCATTGCACGCCTTTTGCGGATTAGGGTAGTTACTATGTTAATTGAGTTATCTATTTTTCTTTTCTTTTTTGTCTCAAGAGATTCCATTTGACCTGGTGCTGCATAGTCATCCTCGTCGCACTGAATGTTTTGTTGCCCGACATAAATTGCTGTTTCGTACGAGCCTCCAACTTTGTTCTTGGGACTGACTATCAAGCAGTACAGGCAGCTCCCGTCAAAACCTCTACCGGAAGCCATAATTATCTGGCAAAACAATGTACAACCTGAAAGCCCAGACTGCATAAAACTGTACCAAAAAGCGCGCTGTTGTCGAGACATTAGCCTCCTCGCCGTTTTTTTACATGCTTTTCAAAACATCATCGGGCTGAAGCTGTAATCATGCAGTACCCACCTGTCGTACACCTAAAAGAAAAATTTATAAAAATAAAAAAAAAATAGATCTTCCTCATACGAAATGCAACTTTTCAACATGGTAGAAAGAAATCACCAAAAATAGTATGAACATGATGTTCCATAACAAACAATTCCAATTCAAACAGACTTCAGTATTCTCTAGGTCTTTTGACTTCACTGACTAGAAAAGCAAGCAACAACTGCATTTGAAAGGATCGATTGCAGCACTCATGCAGCTTCAAGCGCCGCAATTATCCTAGTTAATACTTCTTGCAAATAGTGATCTTCATGAGCGAAGACGATGCGAAACCATCCCGGCTTCTCTGAACCAAAATCTGCCCCTGACGCTAGAAACACTTTCTTCTCTAACAATGCTTTTGTTATATGATGAGATTGTTTGACATACATCTCTAGGTGATTGCGTTGATAGTATGAGCCAAGATCCAGCCAAACAAAGAAGGCAGCGTTCACTCCAGGAGCGTGTGAAATGTGGTGATCTCTTGCCCACCGGATGACGAATTCGTATTGTTTCGAAAGTCGCTTCTGATTCTCGACGATATACGCGTCTGTCCACAGACTATCTTCGAGAATATTGGCTGCGATATGGTCGGATGCCGCTGACACATAAGTGTAAAGACCAACCGGAGTCATGGCTTTGTGAAGTATCTCGTTTGATTGTGAAATAAATGAACCGACACGGAGGCCGCTTGCGCCAAAATCCTTGGACATGCCCCAGACAACATGGATGCGGGCCGGGTCGATGATGCCTCCGGGATCAATAGAAAGGATAGATGTAAAGGGAACTGGGGCAGGGCCATTATCATCTATGTCATTCGACCAAACAGATAAGGCATAGATCTCGTCGCTTATCAGATGAAGTTGGTACTCTTCGCAAAGATACATGAGACTGATCAAGACCTCTTTAGAGTAGCAGCGCCCGAGAGGATTATGTGGGTTGCAGATCACAAGTCCTGCGACCTTTTGTCCCCTCGAATGAGCCTCAAGTATCACATCTTTATACTTTTGAACACAACCATCTTCGAGGGGATCGATATTATGGAATGGGACAGGCAGTAGCTGAGCACCGAACCTCAAGGTGAGGTCGGGGACAAAGGTGCCCCAATATGGCTGGCCAAGAAGGAAGGCCTCGCCTGGATTAGCACAGGCCCATGATAGATGATCAATCGATGAATTGCTTCCGTTCGTGACAGATATATGATGCGACTTCAGCGAGACAATGGCTTTAGATGTTTGCTGAGAAAACTCACAATAGCCTCTCTCAAGCGTTTTGAACCGACAGTCCCATCACCATATGTAAAAGTTGTGTTGGGAAGGTTGATATTCTGGTGGACATGACGGGATAATATATCATGCATCAGAGAGTTCTCTGCGATGCCAAGGTTAAGGAAACCTGAAGGGTTAGCATCAGGATCCCATAGATCTCGGACAACTTTCCAAAGAGTGAGAGTTTCGCTCAGTTGTGCTGCCTCCTGGCAACGTGTCGAAAGAGTCATTGTTACCAACAAAAGTTAGAGAAGAAAATGATGAAACACATGGGCAGCTCAATACCGTGAAACTGACGTTTGAGAGAGTCATGCTTCAGCGATACGATGACTGAATTTTAAGCCGAGACTGGTAATGAAAACATCATTGTCTGAGGAGCTCCGGCATGCACCCGCCACTTACAAGCCAGGAGTAGTAGTGCTTCTCACTAACCTCGACTCGGTAATTTGTAAGTGCTGACTCACCCCACTCCGCCGACCCAACGCATAATATCTCCGCCGCTATGGAGACGAGCACCACCAATTGCCCCCTATTGTCAATAAGGCGTGGGCCCTTGACAAGTAGGGCGGGGTGGGGCATGGCTGAACGGAGTAATGGAGCTCAACGCTTGGGTGTATCGCCACTTTTACCGTAAGTTTCAAGCAACTTTGGTAGCGGACGACTGCGTTGGGGATCATCCACGGAATAGCGGGCGAAGGCAACGGCAATTGAACGTGTAGTGACGAGAATCAAGCACTAATTGACTTTTTATTATACCGAATCCGGTTCTTGGTTCGCCGTGCTCTAGTTGTCTAATGTATCTAGGTCATGAAACTGCTGTTCTTCTGTAGAGCAGAATCGAACCTGAAGAAGATGTAAGGAAGAGGCGTCAGAATGACGCTGATGCATCCCAACAACGTCAGAGTCCAATGCCTCCCAACATTGTCGTAAAGAGGTATCCCAACAACAGTCATTGCAGCCGCGGCAAGGTATCGAGCTAGGTAAGTAAATACCATAGCCGACGCTGCGAAACGGGCATATACATCTATGATATACATGGAAACTCCAATAAAAATCCCAGTGATGCTGAAGCCGAAGAGAACCGAAGCTGCAAGTGGCGACCAGATTGAGATGGATGAAAAAGCTGTCCAACCCATCCAGAACAGAGATATGGGAAGACCTGGAGCTGCCAACATCGCAAACCAAAGCCGCGAGGCTGGATCTACACACGGCGACTCCTGTTCTGTAGATTTTTTAGTTGCTACGCTCTTCCTATGTACGATGGGACCGAGAATTGCTGTGCACGCGGCGCCGACTGTGATACCAGCCAACAATGTGAAGGTCATACCAGTCGAAAGACCGTAGGTTTCTTGGAATATGGTTGGGTAACCATCGAAGAAAGTGAAGAGAACAATGTAAACGAAAGAGAGGTAGAGTGAAGCAAGTTTGATCGTCAGCTCATTCCAAGCCATGATGAAAGGCCTAGTGCAGGCCAACCTTAGCCGCTGAGGTAGCCGTATCTTGTCGAGCTCATGTCGGGCGCGGTAACGTCCCTCTCCGGTGATATTTCGTAGATGCCTCGCTTTCCATGATAGCAGGAGAGGCGAATATGTTTCGGGCTGAAACGTCAATAGGATGATGAACACGACACCACTGAACAAGAGTGCAACCCATTCAGCCCATCTCCACGTATGAAGATGTGGTGAGTTGGGGATCCATGCAGAGAATACCGGGCCCAAAGCTGGCGTGCCGAATCCAACGATAGCAAAGAACAAAAAGGGGAATGTCCTGTCTGTCGGTGACCACAAGTCCGAAATAGTACCACCAGAGCACACGAGAAGGGCCGCGCCAGAAAAGCCGCCCAGAAACCGAAACACTAGGCGCGGTGCAATATGTTGCGATACCGGCGAGGCCATCAGCCAGATACACATGAGCAGAAGTGTGACTGTATAAGTCCCTGACCTGCCCAGTACTTCTGAAAAGGGACCTGCGACTAGAGCACCAAAGCCCATGCCTGCTAGAAACAACGCGACTGAGAGTGATTCAACAATCTCAGAAACTCCAAAATCGTGGGCAGCAAGCTCCGCAATGGGTGCTTCAATCGGAGCGCACACTCCGACCAAGAGCGCGAGGAGCGACACAACAGTAGCCGTCCATTTCCGTGAGTCTGGCCAGTTCCGAGGGTTTGAGATGTCATCGGGATCGTTCCAATCAACAATAAAGACATCTTGGTCCTCAATAGTCGCCGAGTCGAATTGTTCGAGAGGCGGGGGTCTTACACCATCTCCGAGTGGTGAAGATCGTTCGTCGGCTTTCCGACACGAGGCTAAATTGTTGCTTTACTCTTTGGCCAATAGCCCGATATTGCAGAAAAGTGGCCATGGCAACGAAACAGAGTGAGTTTCGCTAACTAACAGGTAATAAATCTATCATAAAAGTACACATCTCAGTTCTTACTATATGTTTACTCCAGGCGTGTGTTCCTGGGCCAAGCATGTCTCTAGAGGGCGCAGGTACCACCAGAAGACGCTTGACGTGGATACCAATCTCTGCTAAAACAGCAAAGTCGGTGTTGGTTGGCTTAGCATCGGCTGTTCATAATGATTCCAAACGTCCTTTTGACCGTACATTAGTACTCTGTGCAGTGTCACTCCCCTGGTCCAGGTGACAGGGGCCAGGAAGGGCAATTTTCGGCGCTTTTTACTAATATCGCTCCGTGCTTTTGCCGAGACAGAATAAATTCTGAGGTCCGATTGGACCTCAACGTAACAGAGGTGGTTCTCTCAGAGGACTATTCTAGCATCCTTGCACCTATTGAAAGCCCCTGCCACGTCAACGTCAGTTTGACAAACTGGAATGCCTATCGCAATCACTGTCTCTCGCTGAAATCGCCAACGCAAATGGCGCAAACCTGCTGACTAGAGCAATGGGAGCTTTGTGGTCTCTAATACTGTATTGGATCCTGCGCATCATGTGGTTAATAAAGCGGACAAATATAGCCATTATTGCGAGTCGACCGACAGCGTGCAAAGATCGAAGCTGGGCTGATACATATGTTGGTACGTAGTACCACTAGCTTCTTGGTATCAATCTGTCGGCAGTTGAGCGGGCGAGCCCTCCATCGCTACTTTAGATCATCTGGTTGTATGTCGGACCTCTGCAGGCAGGGTGGTGGGGCAATCGGAATCGGAATCGGACTTCGGACTTCGGACATGCAACCATTCTCCACAGGCCGCGGGGATGGAAGAGGGCACCAGGCTAAATTGACAGGTGACCTTCGATTTTCCTGACCGAGGATAAAAAGCGCATCGACTAGAAAAAGGGCGTTTGAACGGGGCCGATCCTGGCAGGCATGCCCAACCTCACAGCCATGGTGACCCTCGGGGTGGACTACCGCACCTCGACACAGGGCGCAAGCATGGCCCGCACCTTGGACATAGGGCGCAAGTTTGGCAAGCGTCAAGCCACTGATCCATCGATGAGAAAAGCTTAAATGCTCCAGAAAGTTATGGTATCAATCCCATCAATTGTCTTGCATGATTCGCTATCCAAATACAAATTGAAATAATGCCAGAGATTTCTGAGTTAAAGATTGACAGATGGAGTATGTACCTGACCTAAGCTGGTGTTTTCCAGCATAATCGACACCATAAATAACGACCACTAACGTGTCCTTCTAGTGGAGGAATATGGGGTTTGTATGCCCTCACCATAAGGCTGAAAAAGGCTAACGAAATCCTCCTGCAAAAGCCGAGAGCTCGGATTGGCCTGTATGGTAAGGAACCTTGTAGACACGTTATCACAGGACTTTAAAATCTTAATGTGCCCTAGGCTCGTATGCATCGGCGCTCTCGTTGAATGAGCTGCAGAAACTCGCTCCGAGCACCAATACTACTCTCCTGGATCCAGACCTGGCGCTCACTTATGGCATAACCTTGGGCTCTGTGCGTCTTCGAGAACGAATTGCTGAGCTTCACTCTTCCCCCGAAGTGGAGCTGACCGCAGCCAATGTTGTCATCACTCCAGGTTCTAGCATGGCTAACCACCTCGTGCTGGCCACGCTCTGTGGCCCAGGTGACCATATCATCTGTCAGTATTCCGACATTCGGACCTCTTTATCTCTTGCCCAAGCACAGCGGCGTCGACGTTAGCCTTTGGGGCTTGAAAGAGGCTGACGGGTGGTCTCTTGATCTGGAAGAGCTGGCCAGTATGATTAAACCCAATACAAAGGTCATCATCATTTGGTAGACTCCCTCTGACCCTAAGTTTAATAAATTGCAAAAAGGTGGACTGACTGTTGCTAGCAATCCAAACAATCCGACTGGAACCGTTATTCCTAGAGATATATTGGAACAGGTCCTAGCTCTTGCCCAAAAGAACAACATTGTGGTCTTCTCCGATGAAGCTTTTAGCCCTCTCTTTCATACGAAGGACCAAGCACCTCCTCTAGTCTCGCTGGGTTCTCCTCGCACCCTTTCGACTGGCTCTCTCTCGAAAGCCTATGCCTTACCTGACATCAGAATAGGCTGGGTGGTATCACAAGACAAGGAGATCATACACCGAGTTAGTGCGCTCAGAGACTACACTACCATTAGTGTCTCACTACTGGATGACTCTGTTGCCGCCTTCGCACTGAGTAAGGAGGTGCTACCCCAATTGATGGAACGTAACTTACGACTCTGCGCAGAGAGCATTACTTTACTTGATGAATTTGTTAAGCGTAATGCTCAGAGATGCCGCTGGACTAAGCCAAAAGGGTCAGGAGTAGCGTTCGTTCAGATCTTAAACAAGGACAGGTCAGCCTCAGATGACTTGGTGTTCAGCAAGAAGCTAGTAGAAGAGGCTGGAATAACTGTTATACCTGGTTCATATTCCTTTGCTGAGGAGGGAGCTAATGACCTAAAGGGATACCTTAGAATTGAGATTGGCTCCCCGGAACGATTGAGAGAGGCTTTAGTAGCTATAGAGGAGTTCGTACATAAGTACGATTTTTTCTAAGATAGAAATGAAGTGGTGGCCACTATGACATACATTGAAGCACTAAAAACCAGTCAATAGTAGAATGTAGAGCAAAGGAGTAGAGCAGAAAAAATGACTGGTAAGTTACAGCTAGTGATGTAATATATCTTATTACGACTTTTGTAAGATTATAACTTATGGCCGAGCACCGTGTAAGTACAGCCGGGCATTTTATATGAGGAAATATTTCATTTTTGGTGGAGGGGTACTGTATGGTATAGTTCGCATGTCGACGGCTCGGCTTCTCCACCTGGGCTCAGAGCCTGTGGAACTATATTTAAACCCCCCGGCGCCCCCATCTCTTCACCCTTTCTTCTCTTGTACAGAACAGCATAAAAGCCCTTGGCCTTCAATTTGGACCATTATGGCCCAGCCAGACATTTCTCATAGCCACCCGCTGGCATTGATTCTTGCTACTATTGCCTTGGCGACTACCTTCCTCCTACTCCATTTTCTCCGCAAGCCCACCAGCCAACCCACGTCAACTTTGACGCCTCCTTTGCCCCCCCTGCCTGCGAGCGACGAAATCGTGGCCCTGCGTGTCTACCCAATCAAGTCATGCCGGGGTTTCGAAGTCAAGTCTACGCAGCTCCTCCGAACCGGTCTAGACCTGGATCGCAACTGGATGTTCATATCAGCAGATACATGCGAGTTCATCACTATCCGAACCAACTCCAACATGACCCTTATCAGAACGAGATATGACGTCGATACTGATGGGCTCACTATTTCCTGCAAGTCCCATGAATTCAATATTCCGGCTCATCCTACGACTGAATGGCTTAAGAGTAATACTAAGCTAGAGAAGGCTGGGATCTGGGGTGAGCAAACAGATGCTTGGGAATACCCGACTAGTCTTACTCAGCCAATCTCGGACTTTCTAAACACCGATGTTCGTCTGGTATACAAAGGCCCAACGCCTCGCATCCTCCGTGGTTGCGGATCGCCTAAGCTTCTCGGCCGTACTGAGGCAACGAAGTTTGCAGACATGATGCCAATCCTAGTTGGCTCTCTGGCTAGCATCGGGGAACTCAATGAACGCCTCATTCAAGCGGGAGAAAACGAAATCGATATCGAGCGTTTCCGGCCAAATATCATCATCCGCGGCGGCGGTGAACCTTGGACTGAGGATAGCTGGAAGGCTCTGCGGATCAACGAAGGCGAGGGGTCTCTTGACCTAGATGTAGTTAGCCGCTGTCTACGGTGCCAGGTGCCAAATGTCGATCCTGAGACAGCTGATAAGCACCCCCGACAGCCATGGAACCAGCTTGTGAAGTATCGACGGATTGATCCGGGTCTTAAGTTCAAACCAAGCTTTGGGATGCTTTGCGTACCGCGGACTGAGGGTTTAGTGACAGTCGGGATGAAGTTCAACGTCACGGCCACAACGAATGACCACTTCTTTATTAACCCAATGAAGTAAGATAAGATGTTTGGGAGGGAAATACAAGTTGTTTTCACTTCGTGCACGCTGGCAGGTATTTTGCTAGACATGAAAAGCTGAGCTATGTTGAGTGGGATTACTGCGACATGTATGAATGTTAATGTGATGTCTGATTGATTTATCGTACAACACTCGCTCAAGTGATGAGCATCAAGTGTACTGAATTAGGGAACTGTGGTGTGGCCCTACACAGATCTCTGAAGCAAGGCATGCAGTGTAGGGTAATGTAGGGGCTTGCATCTGCATAGCAAAGGGCGTCGGCCAGAGCGCCTTGACTAGTGTTTCCTTAACTCCTCAAATAACTCTTGAAACTCAAACTCCAACGCGTGAATTGTTAAATAATGACTACACCATTGGTATCTGTACGTAGGGGCCAGGCGCCCGTAAGCAGTATTCAGACCTAAGCTAGCCGTGTAGCATTTATGCGGCGTCAATTACCATATTGGCAATAACTTCGTCTATTGTCGCCAAAAGCCGCTGGGAAGTTTAACTCCTCAATTTTCTATGGCCGACCTGGGGCGACTCGCTAGCTGCCTTTATCTTCCCTGCACTAGCAATTTATAAGGCATTAAATCAGATTGGCCAGCTCAGGATCTCCGGCCGGACATCGGAAGAGACAGTGCGTAAGAGATCAGTCATTTTCTTCGGATAAGGACGAACCGGTCGGTTGCGGGGTATACTCCACACGTGTGGTATCGGCCACTTTATTAATCTACAAATCTCCTGCCCTCATTCTCAGCAAACCTTGGTGTAGTCGCATCTGTCTACCTACTTTCGGAACTTCTAGATCTCCAACATGGACTGGAAAACTCTGGCAGCAGAGAAGAAGAGTCAGCTTGAGGCGTCCATCCCTCCAGAATGGCGCATCAAGACTCTCCCCACTGACGACTCGGTTATGTCATTCCCCGGGAGGAGTGGAATCCTAACGCTAGAAGAGCTCAACATCACTGAATCGCCAGCCACTGAACTAGTTCAGGATCTAGCTTCTGGAAAGCTGTCCTCGGTTGCTGTCACCACTGCTTTCTGTAAGAGAGCTGCCTTGGCTCAGCAGTTGGTAAGCCGATCGTTCCTTGTCTCCGTTAAGTGTGTAATTGCTGACATCCTTCAGACGAACTGCTGCCATGAGTTCTTTCCAGAGCTGGCACTGGCCAGAGCACAGTATCTAGATGACTACTTTACCGAACATAAGAAACCTATTGGGCCGTTGCATGGGCTGCCTATCTCAGTGAAGGACCAAGTTCGCATCAAGGTACGTTCTTTCCAGACAAAGAGTTGTCATAAGCACTCCCCAGATCTATCTTATCAATATTTATAAGTTTTCCTAATCAACAAGGGGCTTGAAAGATCACAGTTAACCATCACAGGGACTTGAAACTACCATGGGTTATGTTTCATGGATTGGTAAGAAGGATACCGAGGACTCTGTGCTCACCACCATGCTCCTCGGCGCTGGCGCGGTTCTCTATGTCAAAACCTCCGTCCCTCAGAGCTTGATGGTGTGCGAGACCATCAACAACGTATTTGGCCGCACCACGAACCCACGAAGCAAGAACTGGTCGTGTGGGGGAAGTTCCGGTGGTGAGGGTGCTATTGTCGCGTTCTGTGGCAGTGTAATCGGTGTCGGCACCGACATTGGTAAGTCGGTTTCGCCGGTCCCTTCAGGGAGAGTGTGCTAATGAAGTTAAAGGCGGCTCTATTCGCGTTCCAGCCGCCTTCAACTTCCTCTACGGTCTTCGACCTAGCCATGGAAGACTTCCATACGCCAAGATGGCTAACAGCATGGAAGGCCAAGAGACCATCCATAGCGTTTGCGGACCGATCTGTCACTCTATTGCTGATATGCGACTCTTTGTCACGTCGATTCTCAGCCAAAAGCCATGGACCTATGATTCCAAAGTCATCCCAATGCCATGGAGATATGATGAAGAGAATGCTATCAAGGAAAAGATTTCCTCTCGTGGGTTGAATCTGGGCTACTATTCCTGTGATGGAAATGTGAGTTTCAACCTTTATTGTACCTTCGAATATCTCCCTTACATTAATAGGTTCTGCCTCATCCCCCGGTCCTCCGGGCTGTCCGGAAGGTTGTTGACAAACTCAGCGAGGCTGGGCATACAGTTATCCCTTGGGAGCCTTACCGGCATCCATATGCTGTTGATCTGGCTAACCGCATCTACGCCTCTGATGGAGGGACTGTAGGTCCATGATATACGTACTCAATTATGACTGTTACTTATTGTCGCTAGGATATCTTTTCGGTTCTCGATACTTCTGGGGAGCCCGCAATTCCTAACATTGCGGAACTTGTCAAGCCGAACCTACCCAAGTTAAATCTCAACGAGCTTTGGGATATCCAGCTTCAGAAGTGGGATTACCAGTCGGATTACCTAGCCAGGATCCGAGAGGCCGAAGAGAAGCTTGGTAAGGAGCTTGATGCTATCATTGCTCCTATTACTCCTACAGCCGCTATCCGACATGACCAGTTCAAATACTATGGATATGCTACTGCTATAAATGTACTCGATTTTACTAGCCTCGTAGTGCCCGTTACCTTTGTTGACAAAAAGATCGATGAGCCGAATCATCAGTTTAAGCCACTTACCGAAATGGATCGGACGGTGCAGGCAGAATGTAAGAATACAAGCCTCTTCTTGTTTTCCAAAGCTGACATCCTTATAGATGATCCAAGTGCATATCACGGTGCACCGGTGGCGGTTCAGATTATCGGGCGACGACTTACTGAGGAGAGGGTCATGAGCATCGCCGAAGAAGTGGGGCGTCTACTTGGAAACGAGGTTGAACTATAAGGTTAAGAATGGATGCCAAAATCTATAGGTCCGAGATACAGAGTTTGGCGATGCAACTACCAGTTCTGAGAGATGGGTTATTTTAGATCTTTGAGGGTCGCCATCAACGCGCTCAGCGGCTTAGGCACAGTTTTCCATCAGAAGGAGCCAATCCAATCGATGATACTCGCGGAAGGTTCATATGAGATCGGATGATCCTACACTGTGCGTGCACCAGTTTCCATCATCAATTTCAATGTGTTTTTCAAGCTATTTGATTGACCTAGGATGGAGCAAAAAAGCTAAGTTAATAAGAGAAATACATGGCAAACTATCGCAGCTTCTTGCCTTGTCGGGATAGTCCCAACTTCATTGAAGCTATAGCCACAATGCCTGATTTATCAAGCTTTTTATCCCTCTTCAGGCCCTTATGTATGCCACAGTTGAGGCGGGCTGTGCCTATAGCCCTTGTTAAGGCTTGGTCCCCCGTAAGGCTCTATAAGCAGCTGTGAGGACCACTGTAATTGCTACAATAGCGATTATAGCCGAATCTTTTGCCCCGTGGCGTGATTACCAGGTGCGACTGTTACGGCCCAATTCACTGTTGTTACAAGTATTAGGGAAACGTCAAATAAAATGTCTCGGGATAGTATAAGCAGGGTTGTGTTTTCCAGCTAGTACATGTTCTCATAGTAAACTAAACACTTACTCTATGGCAAGTCTCTGTGAAGTGATTCTAAGGCTTGGACAATATCCTTCTTCATATCTTCTACACTCTCTATGCCGCAACTTACTCGCATCAATCGCGGGTCGCGACCCTCATCACTCATGGCTCTCCATTCCATCAAACTCTCGACACCACCTAGACTAGTAGCGTGTTGAAAGATGAACAGCCTGCTGGGCAGCCTTCGAGCATGGTCTTCCCTCTTCATCCACATGGAAAAGACGGGCCCGAAACCATTAGGCATCTGCTTCTTCAGCCAGCCGTTCTTCAGATCGTCATGCTGGAGCGATGCATGCGCAACCTTATCCACGGTCTTGCCGATGATGCTGTTGGAGTCTTGAATTTGCTCTGATAGCCAGGAAATCAGAGCTGTGGCCGTGGCTGACTGGCGGGTTACTCGAAGCTCAAGAGTTCGAAGTGATCTGATACCTAACCAAGCCTCGAAGCTACCCATGACAGCACCGCTTGTTCGACGATGTTGCTGAAGCGTCTCCAACCAGCCTCGCTTGACACCCTCTTGATCCAGGACGAGGAGGCCACAGAGCATATCGGAATGCCCCCCCACGTACTTGGTTCCGCTGTGCATGACAATGTCAGCTCCATGCTGGAGGGGATCCTGCAACGGAGGAGGTGCGAAAGTAGCATCAACTATGAGATAAGCGCCTGCCTTCTTTGCAATGGCACTGAAGTGGTCTAGGTTGCGCGCTTCACCTGTTGGGTTCAGCGGCGTCTCGATGTGGAGGACGTCACCAGGCCCGAGCTGGTCGAGATCATTCAGCGTGAACTTCTCGACGCGTGTGAGCTTCTCCACGAAGCCAATGCTACGATGAACGCCATGGTAACCCTCCCCAATAAAGATTCGCTTGGGGTTCAGTAGAACCATGAGAGCGTGAAACGCGGCGAGGCCGCTCGGGTAGGCAACAACTCGGCCCCCAAAAAGGCTACTGGCAACAGACTCGAACCGGGTGGTGTTGGGGTTAGTATAACGTCCATATATATGAGAGTCATGCGGGGCATTGGGCTGTAGAGGAAAAGTGTTAGACGACCCAGACTAAAAGGGAGGGGTTGTGTTGCAGTACATACATCGGTGTTGTCCATGAAAACCAAGTCATCAGGATCTCGGGCATATCTGTAGTTGACTGCCACATGCATACTGGGTGCGATCGCACGGTGACCACTGTAGAAGTCATCCGCGTGAATGGCCCGTGTCGCCAGGTCCATGTCTGGCAACGCCTCATTCAAGGCTTCTGCCGTGAGAACAAAGTGCTTAGAAGTCATTTCGAGTGGTTTCTCGCAGTGAAGAGATATTGTCTCGCAGTGTGCGTGATGCTCTCTAACAAAGATTAAGCTCTTCACTTTGCAGCCTTTGGCCCTTAGTTAGAAAGGAATAGGTCAAGATATATGATTGTAGAAGGTACAGCAAATACCCAAATGAAAGAGCCTAGAAGGAGACACGAACTCGATGGAGTTAGCGTATTAGCTGTGAGTGATTAGTAAGTAGTATGACTATGCTCGGAGAATTGACCAACCATACAGCGTTCCATTACTAGCACGACAACCTAGATCCGTACCGCGGAAGAAGGTGCGACAGCGATTGGCTATCCTACCGAGCAACGCTTCGACCTACCTTGTGTTCTCCAACATGTCATTCACGCCCTGTGGACAAGACAAGGCAATCTACGAAGATCTGAATTACTCCTCCCGAGATTCTGGTACTCTTCCCCATGATACCCTGATGCGGGGAAAAGCCCCGGATTTTCCAACTCCCCAGATTCGCTAGGCCAGTATCATGAGAACCCCCAATCGTACAAAACTCAACCGCCTGCCAGCAAACGCTTCCTTGATCGATCTATATAATCACCATGTGAAACTCACCTATCTTTCTTGGAGTTTCCTTCATCAAGTCAAGTCTTACAGTACAGGGGAGTTCTGTTTCTTACCCTGGCTTTACCATCGCTTCTCATCATTCACTCACGACGGTCGATAGCATGTCTTCACCGGACGAAAAGACACAGGGCGTTGAAGATGCCATACCCGGCTATGACTCTTCAGAACACACGCAAGGTGTCATCGTGGGACTCGAGCAACCAGCCGACTTCTCCGAGGTGCAGGATATGAAACAAGGCCTCAAGTCTCGCCACCTGCAGATGCTGGCTCTCGCAGGCGCCATCGGCACTGGCTTATTCTTGGGCTCTGGTCGTGCCGTGGCCAATGCAGGTCCTATCGGTGCCCTCCTGGGATATACTCTCACCGGCCTCATTGCTGCCGGTGTTGTGCTTCCTGTGGCAGAGATGGGAGCTTTGGTTCCCTTAAGCGGTGGTGTTGTTCGCTATGCCGAGCTCTTTGTTGATCCGGCCTTATCCTTTGCCAATGGCTGGAATCTGGTCTACAAAGGCCTCATTTTCATCCCTACTGAGCTTGTTGCTGCCGCCGTGCTTGTCCAGTACTGGTCCGACATCAATAGCGCCGTGGTAAGTTCGACTTGTAGAAGTTTGCCCTCCTAGCCACACTGCATGTTCTGACAGTCACCTCAGTGGATCACATTATTTGGCATTCTCATGTCACTCAGTAACTTCCTATTTATCAAGGTCTTTGGTGAACTCGAGTTCAGCTTTGCGCTACTCAAAATTGCCTTGATCGTCATCATCAATGTCATGTCCTTGGTAATCATCTGCGGCGGTGGTCCGAACGGCGATGTGATTGGTTTCAAGTATTGGAAGAGTTAGCTCCCTCTCATATTCAATCTTCACTGCGCCGAACTGACTTTGTACTTCCAGACCCTGGCCCATTTGCGCAAGAGTACCTAGGCTTCACTGGATCTCTGGGACAATTTCTCGGGTTCTACACAGTATTTGCCAACGCCCTCTACGCATACTCTGGTATCGAAAATATATCACTTGCAGCGGCCGAGACAAAAAACGCTCGACGAGTCATTCCACAAGCCGCCAAAAGAGTGTTTTGGAGAATTCTTATCTTCTATGTCTTGACAATTTTTCTTGTAGGACTTGTCATTCCCTCAGACAACGACATGCTATTACAATCCAAGGGAGCTGCTGCATCGCCCTTTGTAATTTCCGCCCAAATCGCAGGTATCAAGGTCATCCCACATGTTATCAACGCCATCGTCATCACTTCGGCGTGGTCGTGTGGTAACATGGGCATGATGAGCTACATTCGATACCTATTTGGTCTAGCCAAGAATGGTCACGCCCCCAAAGTCTTTCTACGGATCAATCGCTTTGGTATTCCTTGGGTCGCCGCCACTCTGTTTACTGTATTCATGGCTCTGGGGTATCTCACCACCTCCAATGGCGCAGCACAAGTCTTCACATGGCTGCAAGACTTGCTCTCCACTGCCATATTGGTCAACTGGTCAGTTATTTTGATAACATTCCTGCGCTTCTATTACGGATGCAGGAAGCAGCGTATCAGTCGCAAGGAGCTCCCATACCAATCACCCTTCCAACCATACTACGCCTGAGCCTCTCTTCTCATGTGCATCCTGCTTCTGGTGACTGGCGGTTGGAGAACGTTTCTCGAAGGCCGCTGGGATACACAGGCGTTTGTCTCCGCGTATTTTAACGTGCCCTTTGTGCTCGTTCTCTACCTTGGATACAAGCACATCAAGAAGACCAAGATTATCCCCCTTGATCAAATCCCAATTCGACCCCTGCTTGAGATTGCACACGCCGATCCGTCGCCCCCACTCAAGTCTAAGAAGGGTTGGAGGAAGCTCAACATTCTTTGGTAAACGGACTGCTAGGAATTGAGTGTCGAGAGAACAGGGATTACTGCTCTGAGAAGTAGGGTTACTATGTTCCGTACTTGAGAAGCTCATCATTGTTTTCACTCATTTCCTGATGTCTAGAATATTGATATCCTTCGTACCGAGACATTTCCATCCCAGGTGCAAACTGTGCTTGAGGGATCATAACCTTCTTCGCTTTCATATCACACAGTAAAACTTGCGCCGATTCAAGTCGCATAGATGGCAAGCGACAGTTTTTTAACGAGGAAGGATTTCAATAATTCACTGTTTGTAACAATACAGAACACTGGGCGTAGACTCAGCGGCATACAATTTGACCGCAGTACACATCTTCAATACAAATAGTCCTAGCACCTGCTCCCGTCAAACTGCCCTGTATAGTGTTGGACGAACAAATGAGGCGGTCATATTCCCATGTAAAGCGCATGACAGATCATGGTGACCAACAGGCTAGATCGGATCCATAAGAAGGCTTTTCAATCAGCTTTTCCATCAGATCATCAACTTTGAACAAGACCAAATAGAGATACGAATATATGAGAGGTTCCGATATCACCATTTCGACCCGAAGAGCGACGTATCGTCGCACATGGTTGAATAGGATGGACTGACAAGTTCAATCCGGATCTGTTGACGCTCCGGAAGGAATGCATATCCTATAAGGAGACAACAGGGGTTACGGAATAAGAACCAGTCAGAGCGTGATCCGATCTCCGAGGGTGCGGAGTAAGCCTAATCAAGTCCCCAAGAACAGTCCGATGTGTTCAATTCGCCAGTAGCATCATCGTAGGGGGCTGTTGCCTCAGATGGGACCAGCAACCAAGCTGACAGATAAGAGTACGCACTAGGACCTTAATGCCAGACAAGTTTGAATCACCAAGGAATAAGCTCTAACAACTCCGACCTCCTTTTGTATTATCAATTCTCATTCACTACACCATGTCGCCAACGGCCAACTGTACTCAATTGCCCACGCCTGCGCAGGCACCGAAGGTCAATGGCGCCCCTCTCCGATCCAAAGAATACTTCGAAAAGCGATCAGCGGATGAGATGCAGAAAAATCTCAAAATACCTGAACGTACTCTCCAAGAGACTCTAGCTTGTGCCTGTCGGCTTATCGCAGCTAAGCAAGAGGATGCTGGTTTGGCTGGTCAAATCAGTGCGCGGTCTGACCGAGGCGATGGCTTTTACTGGACTCTTAAGTTTGGCTTGGGCTGGGATGAGGCTATGCCGGAGGACTTCATCGAGGTAGATGGAGATCTCAATACCGTCACCGGCGAAGGGATGCCTAACCCAGCGATACGCTTCCATATATGGGTTTACGCCGGTCGGCCTGACATTCAGTCCATCATTCACACACATTCCCCCTGGGTACAGGTCATGGCAGCCGCCAAAGAACCCCTTATAGTTGCTCAGATGGACATGACACCGTTCTTCAACGATTGCGCATTCCTAGGTGAATGGCCCGGCGTCCCTATCGCTGATCAAGAGGGCGTTATTATTACAGAGGCTCTGGGAGACAAATACTCGATTCTGCTGGCTAACCATGGGATGTTGACGGCTGGGAGGAGCATCCAAGAGGCAACATATCTGGCAGTATATCTCGAGAGAGCAGCTCGCATTCAGGTTCAAGCACGAGCTTTTGGTCCTTTTAAACCAGTTGATGAAGAATTGGCTCGCGAAGCCGGTTCTTATTTACGTCGGCCTAGAATCATGAATGCAACCTTTGAGTACTGGTACCGGCAAACGAGGCCTATCAAGCCGCTACCATTCTAGGTCGGCCGTTTATTTTCTGTTTGTTTTGTTTCTAGTATGTTAGTCGCTTAAAATGAGTCGTATTAAAACCCCTGATTATCTTTTCCGGCGATGAACGATCCTCTTACGATGACTGTAGCTTCGATAAGGCATACTTGAATGGCTGGAATTTGAGTAACATGCACTAGTAGCTTAGTCTCCCGCGCTGGGCCTTCTCCAATAAGTGATTGGGGCATCTAGAACCTGAATGAAAAACGTTTACTTACCCCGCTTTATCATCAACCTAGTGATTTGTTATTTAATCTCTGTCTTGCTACTGGACTCTCTGGTTCCTGTCTCCACCATACCTTTCTGCCTCTTGCAAGCTTTGTCTGTACTTGAACAATGGCACGCCAGAAGGTCGACGCAGCATGCGACAATTGCCGACAAAGAAAAGTCAAATGTGATGCGCAGAGGCCGGGTAAGCCAATTGATATATTCCCTACGTCGTATGAAGCTGAAGGCAGTACCAGTATGCTATGCATGTAACCTTCGAGGAGAGACCCGGTGCGTATATCGCCGAGGCGAAAACTCGCGACGAAGACAACGCGCATTACTGCCGCGTTATCAACTACCGCAACTCGCTACGGCGATGAGTGGAGGTTCTACAGACGAATCAACATTGATGTCTGTGTCCAGAGAACTTCCAGAACGACAAGTTCCAACACAAACAATCACCATGTCTTCGCCTGAGAGTGCGGTCAGAAACCGGCTAGCCAGTGATTCACCAACCTCAACACACACGGCCAACGCTACACGACCCAAAGCTACCATATCATCGGAAACGGACGCGATGACGGGTGTCGGTAAGGACTGTTCAGGGAGCACCGAGTTCTTCGGTGACAGTAGCGCTGTTTCCTTCATGACCCAGATCAATTCGGCTATCGATGCTCGTCTTGGACAGACACAGACATCATCGACATCTGATATCATTGACGAGGTTCAAACATCATATGGAAAAAAGGTTACAAGCAGCCAATTCCAGGACTGGATAGACCCTCTCACTTTCCAATTCCCACCTAGAAACTTTTGCGACGATCTCATACAAGATTATTATGACTTGGTATGGGTGATTCTTCCTACACACGACTGGACCTCTTTCAAGCAAGATTATGATGCTATCTGGATCGGCAGCTTGACAACTACTACCACCAGGCCGTTGCACTGCATGATCAACATGGCACTTGCATTAGGTAGCCAATTCTCAAAAGCTGTGCCTCCTGGGGAGAGGAAGAGAATGGGTCAGACGTTTTGGGAGAGAGCTCTTGCACTATATGATCCGCGGCTTCAACAAGGAGCTTCGTTAGAAGGAATCCAATGTTTCTTGATGATGGGCCTGTTCCTGCAGAGTACTCACCAGTCCCACCAATGCTGGATGATTGTAGGATCGGCGGTACGTATGGCGCAAAGCTTAGGTCTGCATTTGTGCCGAACAACAGCCCAGAACGAAGATATTCGGCATGTCGAAATGATGCGAAAGGTGTGGCACGGTTGCGTCTTTATGGATCGGGTTATGTCAATGACATTCGGACGTCCGAGCATGATTGCAAACTGGCTCTACGATTCTGTTCCTCTGCCGACTATGATTGATGAAGACCTCCTAGGCAAACAATGCCTGCCTTGCACATCTCGGCCAGATGGGGCAACGCCTACTATAGCATTCTTCATCAAATCTGTAGAGCTCTACAGCATCGTCAATGATTCCTTGCTCGAGCTTTACATGAGACAGCCACAGAAAGAGAGCGAGGAAGCCGAGCACGTCCTTTCCGTGCTGCAATTCGATGATAGGCTCGTGCGGTGGTTCCAATCGGTTCCTGACGGACTTTGCTATTCATCCGGGTCAAACGAAAACTCTGTTCTTCGAAGACAGTGTATTGTCTTACGGGCAAGGTAAGCGAGCTGTATACTAAGAAGACTAACTATTGCTAACATGACGAACCGCAGGTATCTGCATGCCCGAATTGTCGTCCTCCGCCCGATTCTGACAGAATCCTGCCTGAAACAGGTGAGGGCTGACCACCATAGTGGGTCTGCACCTACAGATCAACGGCTGTCGCATAGCCTCACAGACCAATGCTCAATCATCTGCTTCGACTCGGCTCATAAGATCATCAACATGATTCATGCAAATCTAGATCTGGAAACGGTGACAGGACCTGTGCCTGCATGGTGGTTTTCGGTATTGTGTGAGATTTAAGTTCCAAAAATATATAACATGATGCTAACCTTGACCCACAGTCGTGTATACAGCCGCAACAGTCCTTCTGGCTGAGCGTTTTAGACAGTTGAACTCGACTTTTTCGACTACAGAGCCATGGCAGGCTAAACCAGCATGGGATCAGGCGATACAGCTACTCAGAGCCTATGCAAAAGTAGGTGACTCAGCCAAACGCTGTGTAGCAGCCTTAGAGATTTTGCTCGCCAAAATCCAGGGTTATCACCATATATCCGAGCATGGGGAAGCGCATGACGATAGGGCCCTAACGGGGAATGCTTTCATCGAGCAACAAAACGATGCACCTCTCGTTGCTTTTGACGACATTACTGGGCAGATTGATCTAGACGGAATGGATTTCGATATTGATGATATGCTTTGGCTCAACACTTCAGCTGCAGAGTTTCTTGTCTAAGGAAGGAGTTTGGATCACCTTGATACCAACAGTGAGAAATACGAGAAGTATTTCTCCTGATGAAAACAGAATTCAATTGACATTCCTTGTTTAAATGCAACTTGAGATCCAACTTCATCTATTAATTCTTTGCGGGGCCGCTGAGGATCCCATCAGGAGTCTTGACGGCCGGGGAGAGCGCTTTGAGAATAGTAGCAAGCAATAATCTCAACGAGGTCTTGATCTGACACTGGCTATAAAACATCTCACCCAGAACGTGCACGCATAGTGTCACCTATCAACGCAGTTCGTGGGTGTCCAATTCCATGGACGGGAGGTATCCTCCGTATTATCGAACGGTACTCCGTCGTACTTATCCAGGTTTTCGTCGCCAATGGGACTTGTTGTTAGACAGAGATGGCGCTGTAGATGTCTGCCAGTAGTTTGTCACCGGTAAGTCTTGAAGTATTCAGTCATGGTCAAAGCACAAAATATCAATTATCTGATGCTTTCTACATCTGCGAAATAATCTTCAACAGATCCCCTGTAACACCCATTGCAGTAACCTGGCCTCCAGCACCTGCACCTCTAATCGTCAACGGCATCTTTCCGTAACGTTTAGTGTAGAAACTAATGATGTTGTCACTACCTTGAAGCGTAGCAATTGGATGAGTAGGTTCGAATAACTCAAGGCCAACTTTGGCTTGTCCAGTTGTCACGTCGACGCTACCAATGTAACGAATAACTTTCCCAGCCTTTTCAGCGACCTTCTTATGCTCTTCCATAACCGAGTCAAACTCGGGAAGACGTTTTAGGAACTCCGAGGCATTAGCGATGCCCTCTAGTTCCTGTGGAATCAAGCTCTGGACTGGGAATGCCGCAGGTGACTCAATAGGCAGGCCAGCCAATCGCCCTAAGATCGTGATTTTACGAGCCACATCGAGGCCGTTGAGGTCATCCCGAGGATCAGGTTCAGTATAACCAAGCTCTTTAGCCTTGATAACTTCAGCTGACCATGTCCCACCGTTTCCTGAGGTGGGGGCAAACGAGTTGAATAGAAAAGATAATGTGCCACTAAAGACTCCTTCAATTCGAGTCACCTCGTCGCCAGTGTTGACAAGGTCATTGATGGTTGAGATGATAGGCATGCCAGCACCGACGGAAGATTCGTGATAGACGAAGGGACCAATAGGTGTAGTTGTATCAAAAATCTCTCCCCATAACTTATAGTCTCCAGAGAAAGCCTTCTTGTTAGGGGTGATGATGCTGATGCCACGTCTTAAGAAGGAGGGATAAGCTGAAGCTACTGCTTGAGAGCTTGTATTGTCTGCCACGATGACCTTGTGAGGCGCTCCGGATAGGTAGTCGATAATCTTGTCCAGGGAGGGGGGATTACGGCCTCGTTTTTGCAAAGTCTCGAGAGCCAAGCCAATGTCCAGTTCAGAGTAATCGTCATGATATAAAGCTCGATCGATGTCCGCAATGTAGCATAGCTTCAGGCGAGTGGTTTTTTTATTCTTAGCAAGCCATGCAAGCTGCTCGACAAGACGGAGCCAACGCCTCCAGCGCCTATTATGTCTGTTAGTTCCAATCTATGGGGCGAGTTGCTTTTGGTAAGGACTGACCGATGACGGCAATGCAGACCTCTTTCTTTGTGGATGCCATCTGGTTGTTCAAGTACTGCTTGTTGTGTACATCTATTCAATCCAGATCACCAGCTGCTCTTATATGTAATAACAGTCGACCGCAGGGCCGGTTTTCGGCCCCATTGACATCTGCGCCCTATGAAAGGTTAGTTGCTACTCGGAAACATGTCTTTGGATTCTTCGGTCTTCCGCGGAATGACCATCACGCTGTGCTGTTCACGTGATAGTACAGTGTGAAGGCAGCCCCACAAAGTCCGAAGAGATCTGTCGGATTCTCCAGTGATCAGACAGACAATCCACTCTGAGTAATCTAAACGTGACATAACATCGGACATGTACTTTCCTGGTGCTAAATAGTGAATCGAATCGGTCAATTGATTCTAAAGCCCCCTTCGTTGTACTAATCAAAACATGACATGTCCCCGCAACGGTAACCCGGGCTCGGAGGGTCATCCAATAGAATCGACTCTTCATTCCGAGACTAACTATCAACAAGGAACTGGCCTAGTAATGTGGCCAGACAAGTTATGATACAATGTCAACATTGAGATTGGATCTCGGAGCGTTATCAGAGCTGTGCAGAACAGCAACTTGGAAGTTAATTTTGAGTCTTGACAATCTACAGATATATAGGTCTAGCAGGTCTCTAATCATGCTTTGCTCAACAGACAGATTAAGCTGATTCTCTTGCCCAGCATGCCTACCAAGCTACCATTCACCGTAAGATGATTGCTGCTGGAGCCGAATTACGCCGCTGATTGTTCAATAGCTCGATGACCCGTCCCTCTTCCATGAAGCCTCACTCTTGAACGGAGAATGGGTTCAAGCGAAATCTGGAGACAAGTTCGATGTCGAAGGTAGTCACCTCCCTATCGTGATGACATGACCTGTTACCACTAACACCAGCCTCTTGGCAGACCCTGGATCTCGCAAAGTGTGGGCATCTTGCGCCAACAACAACATCGCCGACGTAGACCAATACGTCGAGACGTCACAAGCCGCGTTCGAAAGCTATCGTTTCATCAACCCACGTCAACGGGCCAAGGTCCTGCTTAAATGGCACGAGCTGATCACTGTTGCACGCGAAGATATCGCCAAAATCCTTGTTTTTGAAACCGGCAAGCCATGGGTAGAGGCTGTCGGGGAGGTCGATTATGCACTCGGCTTCGCTTGGTGGTTCGCAGGTGAAGCTGAGAGAGTGCGAGGCTCTGTTGCAATTCCCTCCGTGTCCAACCGCCGTACATTTGTTATCAAGCAGCCTATTGGAGTATGCGTTGCTCTTGTTCCTTGGAACTTCCCCGTCGCTATGATCATCAGAAAAGTAGCTGCAACCCTAGCAGCGGGATGCTCTATGATTATAAAGCCCTCACCTGAAACCCCTTTGAGCGTCATGGCTCTGGCTGATCTTGCCCTTCGTGCAGGCGTGCCGCCTGGAGTGATCAACGTCATCTCGACCGATAACGATAACACTCCTTCTGTCAGCGAGAGGCTCTGTAAGCACCCGCTTGTGCGCAAAGTCACATTCACTGGAAGTACCAACGTTGGAAGCATTGTCGCGAAGCACTGTGCTGAGGGCGGCCTGAAGAAGGTGACCATGGAACTGGGAGGCAATTGCCCGTTTATCGTGTTTGATGACGGCGATTTAGACCGAGCTGTCGCTGCTCTGATGATTCTCAAGTGGCGCACTGCTGGCCAGGCATGCACACATGCCAACCGGGTTTACGTACAGAGCGGCGTTTTTGACAAGTTTGCCAAGCTGATAACTGAAGCCACTGCAACCATCAATGTCGGTCATGGTATCGAAAAGGATACGACGATGGGCCCATTAACTACAAGTCGCCAGGTCGAAAAACTCAAGAAACACGTCTCTGATGCTGTTGAGAAGGGGGGCAAGCTCCTTTACGGAGGCAGTCAACCCAACATCAACGGCTATTTTTTCGAGCCAACTATTATCTCAAATATGACCAAGGACATGTTAACAACTAATGAAGAGGTATTCGGGCCTTTGCTGGGCCTATACAAGTTTGAGACAGAAGAAGAGGTAGTCAAGCTAGCGAATGATACGTCCATGGGTTTAGCTTCCTACTTCTTCACCAGGGATATTAGCCGAACGTGGCGATTACTGGAAAGTCTTGAAGCTGGAATGATTGGCATGAATACTGGTAAGTTAAGTCAATATTCCTCTTTAGCTTCGTCTAGTTCTCTGTATATGTAACTGACAATTACTTCAAGGCAATGCATCCTGTGCTGAGTCACCGTTTGGTGGAATGAAACAATCAGGTTATGGGAAAGAAGCTGGCAAGGACGTTGCGATTGAAGAGTACTTGGTGTCTAAGACTGGCACTTTGACCGTGGAGGGAGTACCAATGTTGTAAGAGTTGGTTTATTATAGCAAAGTGGAATAGTCTCAAGAACTAAGCAATAGCCCGTAAAAGAATTGTGCTCATCATCATGGCAGTTGCCGAAAGAAGTCAATATGAACGGAAGGGAATATGTCGATAGCATGCCAGTTTCATATTTGTATCCTATCAAATAATGAAGGAAAAGGTATATAATAATTTCGAGCTTCATAGCTAGTTCTTCTATGTTGAACATAGCTGAAAAAATAAATTATCTAATAGTCAAATATCTCGGGAAAGATTGAGGCTTGAAAATAACTTTATTATTATAAGTAAGATTGCTCAATATCTAGAAGTTGTTTTCAAGAGCCTAGCGATGTATTAGCGCCTAGGATACCATATCAGTATAGAAAAATCGCGTAATTAAAGTGTAAGAATAGAAAAACTGTGTAGTTTATATGTTTTTGCTTTAGGCTGATTAATATACTACTAACTAGTATACTATCGAATATACTAAACCTGGATGTTATATAAGATACAGTAAAATAAATCATGAATTATTATAATGTACCGGTATACACTATGCCACCAGAGGATGAACACTCATATCATCGATAACACAACAACTCATAGCAGCTATGGCGGAAGTAATAATCCACGTTATTTGTAAGTTGGCTCTCTCGAGGCCGTATACCCCGAGATTCGTTATCCTGACGCAAAAGACCCCTTTATATTTGAGATAGACCTCCTTATTAAGCCTATCGCTCCTATCACCGTAACCTTTCCGGCAGAATCTGCACCTATTTACCCGGGTTTCAATATGCCTGCCCAAGTTGTTGAGAATCGCTACCCTAAAGTTGATTTCCTCGAGGTCTCGTACCTCCTATCTCTGCGGTTGGGAGTTCGTTTTCCTGAGGGCTACCCTATAGACGTATCGTCAGAGATCAAGGTATCGATAACACAAAACTTCCTTTATCATCACACTTTCTTGGCATACTACTGTTAAGAAAGTGGCTTTGTCTACACCTAAATCCTT